CAGAAGATGGGCAATAGTCAAACAGAAAGCCAGAAAAAATCAAATGTCATTTTAAAAGGATGCAAAAAAAAAAACCCCAAAACATGTTTTCCTACATGAATTTAGGAAATCTAGGAAATAATATAGAGTAACTGGAATGCTTAAGTGAGAATATTGGTAAATAGACATGTCAAGAATGAAGGAAAAAAATCAGTGGGAGGATATAACATCATAACAAAGTACGCTGGAAAGGCTACTCAAGGAACCCTTAAGAGAAGAAACAGCTCTTGACTTGATATTAAAAAGTACACGTGATCTGATTCAAAAAGTTACCATCTAAGTTTCCATCTGTAACTGTGACACAGATTGTGACATGATTATGACATGAACCGTGACAGAACTGAGATAGTAGCTTGTTATTTGGCAGCATTTCACAAAAAGCAGTTCTTTGCAAACAGCAGCTCTTCATGAAGGGCAGCCCTTTGTGAACTGCGGCTCTCCATGAATGCCAGCAGATAGCAGCTCTTTGTGAACAGCAACTGTTCATGAATGGCAGCTCTTCAGTAGAAAAATTACTTAAGTCAGGAGGGCTTCAAAAGACTTCACTGGACCTTCAATCATTGTTCTAGTAAAGGATCATTATATTCATCTGGCTTGAAGTTTAACAAAGAAATGCTTCTTTAATTAACTTCTTTAATGATCTTAATTATCTTTCATTTAAACTCAAAGATGATCCTTAGAGAATTCAATGTACCATCATTAAAACTTGTAGACAAAGCTATTTTTGTCTCAGACCCAGCAGTTTTGACATACCCAGGTGCCCCAAAGCAGGCCTACAGCAAAGGCGGTGAGGGACTGTTTATCAGGTAGTGCGGTGATAGGACAAGGGGTAATGGGTTTAAGCTGAAGGAGGGTCGATTTATGTTAGATGTTAGGAAGAAATTCTTTCCTGTGAGGCAGGGGAGGCACTGGAACAGGTTGCCCAGGGAAGCTGTGGATGCCCCCTCCCTGGAAGTGTTCAAGGTCAGGTTGGATGGGGCTTTGGGCAACGTGGTCTAGTGGAGGGTGTCCCTGCCCATGGCAGTAGGGGGGGGACTAGATGATCTTTGAGGTCCCTGTCAACCCAAACCATTCTATGATTCTATGCCTGATTTAACATGTATGCATCTACACCCTCATTATCATAAATTACATGACACTTACTTTTTAGCAGACCACATCAACTTTATTCTCTTCAACTCTTACAAACTCATATGTAACATAAATAAATTAAACAAACACAAATCCTCTGCTGATCTCTAGAAACTTGCTTTAAAATTGTCGTATTGTTCTCAGTGTCTGGCCTTGGCTCTCCCTGGGTTCTCATCCCTTTCCAAACTGAAAATTATAAAGTGCAACACTGCACTTACAGTGAGCCATGAAAGTAGGATCATTTGAAAGGAATCGTGTATTTCCTCAGGTCCACAGTTTTAGACAGTTATTTAACCTTTAACACTTATTTTAGAAAAATCACTATCTTTGCATAATCTCCAGTGGATATACTGGGTAATAGAAGCCTTCCCTCTTCAACCCCCTCCCCCCAATTTTAAAAATCATGTCCTAGGATCTGGATCAGAAACAAACGCTTACAGCTGCTTGGAAAAACATTAGTCACAGAAATATCTCACAAAATAAGCAGTGCTCAGCTTGGCAAAGGGTCTACATTTTTTTTTTGCAAGCAAAAAAAAAAATTTTTTTTACTTCGCTATTTCAGGATTACTTAACTGTTATAAAATCCCACATTCCATGCACTTTTAATGTGTTATGCTGGAAGTCTTTGCCTTCACTAGGCTCAAAATTTCATCATCTATGCTTTAAATGACCTAGATCTCAGATATTTTTCTAAACTCACCACCCAGTGGATGAGATGGTTAAACTACAGTACAAAATAACTTCTGCTGTAGCATGGAAAACTCACAGTTTTTCATCTTTGGATCAAATTCTGGAACAGCTTCTTTTTATTTGGCAAAACATTTTATATCTCTGAATCTCTCTGTAAGGCTAAGCAGAGAAATTCTATGGTGTTACATTACATTACAGCTAACATTACATTTTGAAGAGGGATTTTCACAGCAGCAAAGTAAGTCTTGTTCGTTAGGGCTTTTGAAACTTTCAGTCAGCATTACCATTCTCACGTGGCTTGCTAAAACTCAAGGATTCATGCTTGCCATCTAGTGGCTTTGATCAGAATAAGATGCAATCTGTCAACAACAAAGTAAAAAATATTATTTTTTGTGCTAAAAGATGGGAGCTTTAATTTATAGTTATGTTTGAAAATCAAAAAATTGTCCCGGAATTGTACCTGGAAAAGAGGATTATTCCCTCCATATAACCATTAACTGGCCACAGAAACAAAACAGAGGATTAACATGCAGCCACCGAGTCTCCTGTGAAAAGAGCAGCCATGGTTACTGCATTTGAACATGTGATAGACTTGCACCGACTGGGGGAGAAGGTTACTCGGAGGACTCTTCATATCCAAGGTGTTCTTCCTTATAGCAGTCCTAGAAATCCATAAGACAATCTGTGCAGAGCACAAACATTCTTTGTCTGCCTTCATTAAAATAAAATTGTCATCTGTTTGGAAAAAAAAAAAAAAAAAGCTAAAAAAATTCCATGGAGGCAGATATGACCATCTGTTTCTGTTCTGCAGAAACTGTGCATACTTCAGAGTAGATGGTCATTTAATGCAAGATAGAAACAGTTCAGTCTAGAACCTCCCAGGCACCCTCTTCCAGCTGAATGGCCTAATCCCTAGGTTGTAGTATGTTCTTTGTCTAGCTTCATTTATTTTGTACTCTTGGACATAAAGGAATATGTCTTCAACAAAATGAGTGGAAAATACTTCCCTCCAAAACAAATACAACCTGTTTAAAGATGATTCTCTTCAAAGATACAGTTTCAAAGTCTGTAGAATTTAAAATTACATTGAGCTAAAATTCTCAAGAGAAAAAAAAAAAATCCAAAATGTCCATTCTATGCAGGGAATGCAGGGCAGTAAAACAGGGAGAAATAAATCTCCCTCATTGCGTGAGTTTTCCTTCTGGAATTACCACCTAAAATCACTCATCAGAAGTAGTTAACTAGGATTTTAATAAAAGATTAAACTATTGCCAGCCATAGCACAAGTCCATGTATTAGCAAAATTGCACATACTAAAAATGGTCTCTAAATACTGCTCAACTCTCAGAATACTAGCATGTCCTAGTTTGAATAGAAATACTTAGAATATCTATGAAATGCTAATAAAAAGGTAAACTACGTGGCTGGGGAAAATGACATCATCTCAAATAAAGGAATGAGGGGAGGAGGAGTAAACTGTAGCAACAGCTGGTCTTCAGTTTTTATAGCCTTGATACAATCAATGAGTCTACAGCAAGACCAAACAAGCAGTGCTCTGCTTTTGAAGCAGAGGAAATGTACGTACCCTCAATGAAACATACACAAGAACTTGCAATTTGTGGAGCCTCTACAGTTCTTAAAACAATCTCAAATCCAGACCAGAAGAGAATTCCATGCTTTTGGAGTACCTCCATGATAATGCAATATCTATTACATGGATCGTCAAGACAGGCACACATAATAATATCCACCTGTATTGAATGAATACTCATTTTAAGTCTCTCAATCTCTTTACTTTAAAGCCACAAATCCACTATGGACTAGAGTCTGTATAAAATTTTGCCTTTCAGTAGTCTTCCTATACATTGCTTTTATAGAAGTTTCTTGCATGTACCAGTATTGGCAAAACGATGATTGTGGGGAAAAAAAAAATAAGAGTACACAATGGCAAATGACTGAATTTGGTACAATCTTCTCCCACCCCCATCCCTTTTTTTAGGGGGTGGATAGGGAGTAACATTTATTAAGTTATTTTCAAAAGTAATATAATGAACAGATGCTTAGACAGGCTTAACAAAGAGACTCTCTTTACATACCCATAGATGCCATAATAAAAATTTACTAGCACTTCACAAGTTCTGTGCAATTTTTTAATGCACAGTTTACAGCATTCATCAGCAAAAAATAGCTCACGACAAATTCTTTCATCTCATGAATGTATAGTATAACATTGATTTAAAAGGATACAAACAAGGAAGTAACAAAATGCACTATCATGAAAGCATTTCAATACCAACAGCTAGGAAGCATGCATTAACTGGATATCATCAACTTAAATCTCACTATTTTATCTTCATTTAAGAAAGATTAAACTTCTTATCTAGAAACTCCCCTAACACTTCATTCTTTCAGCTGACTGCAGATAAAATACTTGTAAATACAAAAGAAAGAGTTGACAGTTTTGTAACCAGTATTACATAGGTTATGCATTTACCATACAAAAGTTGACTCTGTTCCTTTAGGAACTGGATGCACACATTTTCTGGCTTTTGCACTACAAAATATTTTTCTCCACAGATGATTTGTAACTTCAATGTCATGTTTATAAAACAAAACAACCCCAAACTTCATGCATTTTTAAAGAACCTTTCTTACACATTGCAGTTACTCTTCAGTGAAAAAACATGGTCCGATTTGGTTCACATCCTTGCAACAACTCAAAAAAGTAGCATTACAAGATACAATTAAGTGATCTCTTGATTTTAAACTTTTGCATCTGATGTAATTAAAGTAATACTTGATATTAAATTTCAAGATAAAGAGATGTCAGTATAAAAGGTATGGGCCATCACTGAGGACTTCAGATTCTTCTCAGTTTCATGCTTGTTATTTCAGAAGCAATAACAACTAGTGCATTAATGGCAGAAGTATCAGATCCAAAGACAGAATTGCTATTGCTATTAAAAATAGAAAAGAAGTCGGAAGTATAAAAACGGATACATGGATAGAAACTTGGTGATTAAGAAACAAGGAACAGAAGTCTGCCCACTTTTAATAACTGCAGAAGATGACAAGTGACTTCTAGCAAGAATTTTTTACAATCCTCTTACTGGCATTTGAAATAAAGCTTTTGAAAAATATGCTGTAAAGCTTCTTAATTGTTTATTAATGAATATTTAGAAAAACTAGATTAGGCATTCCAGCTTTTTCAAGGTGTTGACAGTCTACTTTACAGATGCTTAGAAGTTGCACAGTTTGTATGAAAAAAAAAAAAAAGTAGTTTTCAGTGTTAACAATACAGACAACTATAAACCAGTAAAGTATCACACACAGTCTGCAAGTTTCTTTCTTTCTTCAAATTGCTTGTCTACAGCAAGTGAAAGAGCCTGAAGAAACATTGTCATTGTAACACTGGGGGACTGGAAATAAGAACATTTCATTAGACACACTACATAAATAGACACACATAATATTTTACATACAAATGACTATTTAAAATAGAAATATTTGACTTCCGTGTTACAAAATTTTCAAAACGCTACAAAACATAAAACTGCAGATTTATTTTAAACCATCTAGCATAGTAAAGTCAAAGCCAAGCTATGCAAAGTTGAGTCAATCACTATTACTGTGGATTTGCTTCAAAAAAGGTTTTTAATAAATTAATATTATCTATAAAGTGGCAGAGGATTTTATTTCAGTAAGAAATGATCAGAGAACCAATATCAATGTTCTGTCACAATACTGAATTAAAAGTAGAATGCTGTTGGACAGGTCAATCCCACCCATCTTCTTCAATCCCCTTTTAAATTATGGGCAGCACAAAATTGTTTCAGTCTACAAAGCTGCAGAAACAGTGCAATTTAGATTAAAAGGGGGGTTTAGGCCCAATCTTTTACTTCAGGCAATGTCCAAATGTCTTCCCACCTGTCCCAAAACCAAACCAGAATACAATGAATAGAATAAGCTTACTTCAATATAATAAACTTACTTGAATATAAAGTGCATGTGCTAGGAAAGGAAGTTTCCTCAGGACCCGCCCACTAAGACCTTCACTTCTTCTATAGTAAAACAGAGACAAGTGCTGCTTAAATGCTAAATATCCACTCTTAAAAGAAGACCTTCCCTTTTTCTGTGTTTCTCCCATAAGTTGCTCTAAAAACACTCAAATCACAATTCAGCAGGTCACTTGCAGCACTTGTAGCAGAAGCAGAAAGCGAACAGACAACTTCAGCCTATGGGAGCCTATACAGTACAGAAAAGTAATAGTCACATTTGCCTACTAAAGTTTACATCATGCCCTTCACATTACTCTGTCATGTGTCATGAATTTCAGTGTAGACATTCCCCCAAAGAGTATGGTACAGATATAACCTTCCATCTACTCTTAGAAGGACTTGAAAAATTTGTTTTGAAGGCTGGACCTCACAGTTACTGCTGATCTTCTTCCCACCATTTACACAGAGCTTCCTTTACCTCACCTACTTGACCTATGTTTCCAGGTCCTCCAAGCACCACTCTGTGTATGTAGAACCCAAACCTCTATACCTGGAAAAACTTAATTGCATTTATGCCACTCCTCACTGGTTAAGATTGCATACTTCAGGAACAGAATAAAAACACACTGTCCCAACTTTGTGAATGTTATTTTGTTTTGTTCCACAGAACCATAGAATGGTTTGGGTTGAAAGGGACTTTAAGTATCATCTAGTTCCAACTCCCCTGCCATGGGCAGGGGCACCCTCCACTAGACTAGTTTGCCTAAAGCCCCATCCAACCTTTAGAAAAAAAAAATATTGCTTGATATTGTGAATAGTTTTTATTGTTTGAAGAATTGTTACACTGCAGTGAAAAACTATTTGCTCCAGTAGCATACTCAGCACATCATAACACTCCCCATTTGCATGTCACTCCTTTCCCCTTTGCTTCTGTCCACTCATATCTTGATGCTAAAAACTGACTTAGTAGATTGCATGGCTTTCCAAGACACTTTCTTAGCAGGAACTAAGGCTAATGCTATTTCCACTACATGCATTACAATTCACAATATCAAGTGAAACCTAAGGCATCTCACTAATCCAGCCAGCAATTTGTCAATAGGACTTCAAAGAGCAGAGCAGAAACCAGAAGCAGTACTAAGCCAAACCAGATGCAAGACAAAAATGTTGGCAAATCCTGATCACTTCCACTTTTTGTCCCCTGAAAGGTTTTGCACTAACCCTAACAGAAAAAAATTGAGATGTTTCAGAACTCCAGCTGTTATGAAATTCAATTACTTTTATACATCATTCCACAACTCATTATATATACACACATACATATATATGTATAAAAGAAATTTCAGAATCTTACCTTGAGATTTCTTTTAGTACAAGGCTTAACCTTGACACATTATTTTCTACAAAGCCTATCATCTCTAGCTCTCTGAGTGTCAGGAGCTGCTGCCGAGGATATATTATTTGACACTAGAAAGAAGAGTTATATACTGTTGTATGAAAAACTTAAAATACATTCAAAATTAAATTCTACGGTGAGTGGAAGTACACAGAGGAATGAAATTTGTGTATTTTTGTTATTTAGGAAGTATGATTACAATATCAAATTTATTACAATAGGACATGTTACAGTCTTGCTTTCAAAATATTACCTTCATTAGCTCTTCCAAGCAAGAAAGATATATTCTAAATATTGCTGCAGTAGATGGAGGTCCAATGTATTGCTTTATGTCAGCCCTGTCTACAAAGGCCATGTCAATTTTCTCCGTTATATTTGAAGTAGTCAGGATAACTACATTGGGATACCTTCAAGATAAAAGCAGATTTTTAGGTCATGTGTACAAGAATTATCTCCTTTAGTGACTGGCAAATTGATACCTTTTTTTTTTATTACTCAAGCCATTTCATGCAATAAGCAGTCACATCACTCTTGTCACCCAGCAATTACATTAAATGATCTGAAGCTCTTAGCCAGTTATCACCAATCTATTTCAATGCATGGTCTCTTTTAGCTGTTTCTCAAGTGTCTACAGTTTCTCTAACCCTACTTTATAGATGACATACATTAACTATCTAGAGCCTACAGGCATAGTTTCTGCTAAAAAAAAAAAAAGATTATGAAAAGACAACTTGAATTTGAACCTTTAATCTACACTTTTTCCATTTCAATTCAGTAGAAAGTATATAGTTTAACTGGAAATGTGACCTATTCTAACCACAGACAACATTAGAGTGAGCTTAAAAGAGAAATAATATCTCCTTGCTCTAAGAAATACTGAAAGAACTTTCTTAATCATAGCTATTTTTAGACAAAGTCTGTGAATTTTAACATACAAATAAGCTACTTACCTTTAATTAGCCACAAGACAGGGCCAAATACTAGGGCACCTTTCCTTCTGTGAACAGAGCAAAGTATGCCCAAAAATGGGAGGGAAGTGGCAGGAATAACACAAGACATAGTATGCTGCACTAAATCCAGCATGCAAAGCTGACCAAGCAATTAACGACTGCTTTTAAGCCATGTGTTTTGCAAGTCCGCTTTAGATTGACATCCAGAAGCTGTGAATAATGAATTAATTCTTCACTGATCTTATTCTTGTCTCTCCAAGCAGATACCATGACCATCTGTCCTGTATCTCTCCCTAGCTTTAAAGGAAGCGTACCATCTGTAGATTTGCTTGTTCACTCAGATGCAAGCTATTCTGTTGAATTACTCCTATTTCTTTTCACAATTAGCATCATTAAGAAAGAATAGCTCACCAACCAATTTGGTTTAGTATTCCAAGTAGGAATTAAGATTTAGCAGAAATCCTGAAATTGTCCTTTTGCTGTTGCAATAACATGAGTTTACCTTTTAATCTGATCTATTTGTGTCAGTACAGCATTCACCACACGAATAGCATCTGAAGGCTCTGTGCCTGCCTTGAAGGCACTGCGGGCTGCCGTGAGGCTTTCCACCTACAAAGACAAAACCAACTAACAACAAAAAAAATCAAACACCAAAAAAACCTATAAAAGATTGCACATTTGGAGTGCTGGCAGCAAGCAAATAACCCAGACAAAACACCTTCAGATCCTTGTGTCTGGTATCTAGAATTTCATCTTCAAAATCTTTTGTTAAGTAGGAATTTCCAAGGAGAGGGAAAGGAATGTCAAGGAAGCAAAGTGAGTTAAATTTCTGTTTGCACAGAAGAATGGAGGCTAGTTTTCATTTTAATTAAATTTTGGGGGGCAGGGTAGGAAGGGGACACACAGAACAGAATAATGAATACATTGAATTTAGAATGAGCTTCCCCATAGGAACTCCAATATCACAAAGCTAACAAGGTACATACTAAGTTGCTTATGTATCCAAGTCTGAAGAGAATCTAGACAATGAACTGAAACATAATGCTTTTTAGAGCTTTACAACATACATAAAAGCACAGTTAATACAAATTTAGGCTACTTTAAAATAATACTCCACTTGTAAACACAAAGCAGAAAGGGAAATTCCACCAAGAAAGGTTCTGCTTCATTTTCAGCTGGAATTTGTCTGCTGAATCATACTGTGTTCCTCCCAAATCTCCAGCAATCAAGATTAAAATTCACTCTTCTGCACAGTTATGTAACTTACAAAAAGGTATAATATGCTTTTATTGTTCTTTACTAATGAGCATTATCACAGTTCCCTCATATCAATTTACTTTCTGCTAAATTTTATGTAGCTCAGTGCTGTTAGAATCATACCTCATCAATCAGTACAAATACAAGAGCATCTTTGTCATCAATTAACTCCTGAATCTTCTGGAACATCTTGGTTACAAGCTTGCCACTCTAGAAAGACACCATATGCATATGTTTAACTACATCACACAACTTTCGAAGCCTTACCATATTTAAAGATGGAAATACCTGGGTTTTAAGCTAACTTCCTAATATAGCTTGTATTTAAGTGTTCTCAAACACATTATTCTGAGTAATCTTTGGTGCATGCACATTTTATAGAATCACAGAATGTTTTGGGTTGGAAGGGACCTTAAAGATCATCTAGTTCCAACTCCCCTGCCATGGGCAGGGACACCCTCCACTAGACCAGGTTGCCCAAAGCCCCATCCAACCTGGCCTTGAACACTTCCGGGGAGGGGGTATCCACACCTTCTCTGGGCAACCAGAGGCTGGGCAACCACTGAAGTTCCAGTGCCTCACCACACTCATAGCGAAGAATTTTCTCCTAATATCTAACATAAATTTACTGTCTTTCAGCTTAAACCCATTACCCCTCATCCTATCACTACATGCCCTTGTAAAAAGTCCCTCTCCAGCTTCCTTGCATGCCCTGTTTAGGGACCGGAAGGCTGCTACAAGGTCTCCCCAGAGCCTTCTTCGCTCCAGGCTGAACAATCCCAACTCTCTCAGCCTGTCTTCATAGAAGTGCTCCAGCCCTCTGATCATCTTCGTGGCCCTCCTCTGGACTCGCTCCTACAGCTCAATGCCTTTCTTGTACTGGGGACCCCAGAGGGGGTACGCCTCTGGGTACGTAGTACGCCAGGTGAGGTCTCATGAGAGTGAAGGCCAGAATCACCTCCCTCAACTTCCTGGTCATGCTTGTTTTGATGCGGCCCAGGGTAAGGTTGGCTTTCTGGGCTGCAAGTGCACATTGCCAGCTCACGTTGAGCTTTTCATCAACCAACACCCCCAAGTGCTTCTGCTCAAGGCTGCTCTCAATCCATTTTCCACCCAGCCTGTGCTGGGTATTGCCCCAACCCACGTGCAGGACCTTGCACTTGGTCTTGTTGAACTTTATGTCATTCTCATGGGCCCACCTCTCAAGGTCCCTCTGGATGGCATCCCTTCCCTCCAGTGTGTTGACTGCACCACACAGCTTGGTGTTGTCAGCAAACTTGCTGAAGGTGCACTTGATCTCATTGTCCATGTCACCAACAAAAATGTTAAACAGCGCCCGTCCCAAACAAGCTCAACAGAAACAGTGTAATTTCTAAAACAGTCTACTTAATTAGCTACATCAATACGTACCTCTGAAAACCATTTAGAGAAAAGGCTATGGCTGTTTATCTCAATTAACTGTCCATACCTATACCTAAGGTATGAAGGGAAAAAGAAGTATCAACTCTACTGTAAATAAAAGTCAGTGATACCATTAACTTCTGTAATTCTCATTCCCTTCACTTCTACCCTAGAATTCCATGAATTAGTATTTTAAATTACTTTTCAAAACATAATACCTGTTTTGTCATTTCCAGAAATGTCTCACTAGAATTCTTTATATTAAATTGCTATCAGAATTCCTTCATTAGAACAGGTGCTATTTAAATATAGTTTAAGTAACAGTTACCATGCTAATGACCTTATTCTTCTGTTTGTGTAAGATTTTGTTCAGTGTAGCAAGAACACATATAAAAGCATGAAGCTTATTTACTTAGCTCTCCATGGATATCCTCAGGACAAAATATCTCAACCATACATTATATATCCCATATTTATGACAAACTCAGTTTGAGCTAGAGTCAGATCACTCCAATAATTACACATTATTTATGTTACACCTAGTATCTTATATAACATTTATTTTTTTGTTAAGTTGCTATGAAGTTTAAGGCTAACTCTAATTACTCGTCTGATATACAGATTGGCATTCAGACAATCCAAGTACAAAACAAACTGGTTACAAAATCACTACCTATTAAAAACAGGCTTTCTTGAACATGAAGATACAAATAGCAGCTTTGATATTCTACGACCTTTTGTCCTTTAATATTCTTTAACGTACAACATGAGCACAAAGAAATTACTATATCACCACTGGAGTTTGTTTTACATACCTGGGCACAAATAATTACACATTTTAATAGGCACTAAAATATCCTAACCAGTCTCTCTATCAGATCAATTTTATTGCTAGCCAGGTGCACTATAAAAGAACTACGAACATTAGCACTTGGCACCAGTTACTTGAAATCAAATATTAAATACCTTTGGGCTACTGAAAAAGAATGATTAACAATTTTAAACTAAAGTAAAAATTTTCCAAAAATGATCACCTATATGACAGTCGAATTGTCAGCTTCTGAGCCAATGCTTTACAGAGAGAGGTTTTCCCAGTTCCAGGAGGGCCTGGTTTGAAACCAAATCCATACATTACACAGAATCTGCATCAAATTGTTATTGACATGTAACATATTTTTAACTACCATATTTCATTTCAGCACTAATTGTAGAATAAAACCACAGCAGACAATGATTGTGAACACCAGGGTATTTTGAGAAGATTGTTTACTCTGGTACAGTCCAAGAGCTGAGCTTTGAATTTATACAATTATTAGTATAGTTATGGTGTCTGCATACAAACTATTACACTAAAGTTAAAATACTCAGTCACAGAAGCAAAGTCTATCACCCTAGCAGGTCTTATTAGCATTCTCAAAAATCAGTGCTATGTTTAAACTTACATCTTCCTGAAACATAGCCTTCTAGCATGCAAAACAGAAACACGTCATGCCCAGTTTGATCAGCTCTCCACTTTCCAAGAAATCTCTACCTTGGGGCAACCCAGAGCATCTTAGAAAATATGCTCTGGGACAAACCTTTGGGATCTGGCTTGACAACCTATGGAAGAGGCACACAGACTTTCTCCAAACAGACAAGTACAAGCATAGTTAAACAGAGTATGAATGTATGGAAGATGTGTGGGTGCTAAACAAACTAATAACATCAACCAGATGACTACTTCCATTCAAAGCCAGTACTGCCATTATAGCGTAAATGTATTTTGCACTACAACAGCTGTAGATTTCCTGGTATTAACTTCTTTGTGATCACAATAATAAGCTCATTACTAAAATTAAATATATCTATCATAAATGTATTAACTGTATGCAATAGTTTTCCAAACAAAAACATCCTGCAGCTTCTAAACAGATAGTTGTAACTTAAGTATAATCAACACTCAAACCAAACATTTCTACTATGACTTTTATTTTTTAATACCAGTATTGATGACAAAATTGTAATCAATCAATAGCAAGCTGCATTTTGCCAGAAAATTGATTCAGTTGATGTTAATCTTGTTTATGGTATAACATCCACAGTAAACTAGGAATGACTGAAGATTATGGCTTCACTGAAATAGTAATAACTAAATTACTGAGAGTACTGCCTTCATACTTGGCAACAGAACGCACTGTTACTACACAACACACAGATTGATTTCCCCATTTCCTCAAAAGTTTTTATGAAGCCATAACTAACAATTTTTTTAATACTGTGGTAGAACTGTACTTAATATATGGCTTCTAATCTCCTCAGTATCTGCATTATTTTTGCATTTATATAAAAAAGCAATAATATAACTTGAAAATTAAAATTAAAAAACCCAACAAGTATTGTCACTGCATTATAAATTTTAGAATTTAAGTTCCTACAAAATATAGTATATGTAAACATGGATTTGATTCTGACATTACACTTCATCTAAATATCTGTTATAGAATCATAGAATGGTTTGGGTTGGAAGGGACCTCAAAGATCACCTAGTTCCAACCACTCTGCTGTGGGCAGGGACACCCTCCACTAGACCACATTGCCCAAAGCCTCTTCCAACCTGGTCTTAAACACTTCCAGGGATGGGGCCTCCACAACCTCTCTGGGCAACCTGTTCCAGTGCCTCACCACCCTCACAGTAAAGAATTTCTTTCTAACATCTAATCTAAATCGACCCTCCTTCAGCTTAAACCCATTACCCCTTGTCCTGTCACTACACTCCCTGATAAACAGTCCCTCTCCATCTTTCCTGTAGGCCCCCTTCAGGTACTGGAAAGCCACAATTAGATCTCCCCAGAGCCGCCTTTTCTCCAGGCTGAGCAACCCCAGCTCTCTCAGCCTGTCCTCATAGGAGAGGTGCTTCTCTGCTGAAGTATTCTCAGAGAATACTTCTCTGCTGTTTTTGGATCATCTAATTTCACTACGCAGAAGTGCAATACAAGTTTTTCCAGAAGAAAAGCATAAACAGATGGCCAATTAGTCTACTCGGTTTAAGACAGATCATTTTTACCATGCAGCAAAACAACTCTGTTCCATGAGATCAGGTTGCCATCAACATTTTTGTCAGAAAATAGTAATGTTGTCGTCACATAATCAAGTAACTAATTGAAAAGAAAAGAGACAGACAAATTAGTGACATATCAGCAAATACAATTACAAATAGAATCAGTCTCCTAATTATGTCTATTGTATGTTCTTAAAAAAACAAAAGTTGGGCACACGTCTTTTAGGCATAGGCAAATTTTCTTTCTGCAAAGGTTAGAAACTAATTTCCTTCCTGCCCTCAGAAAAAAAGAATAGCATGTACTGGGCACAAATGGAGTTCCAGAACTTTTATACTAATAAATGAAATGCTTTAAGGATGTGAAATTATTTTCATTTTCCATCTTGCCACTTATAGTATGTCTTCAAAACACAAGCTACCCAAGCAGAGAGTCAAAGACTCAAACTCCAGGTTCTTTTTAGATGTTGTAGAGCTATACATTTGTTTAGTTTGTTGTATTCAACTCACCAAACAAAACATTTTCTGTTTTTGGTTTTGGTTCCTTTCTACTGAAGCATTTGTATCAGCTACTGTAAGAAATTTGTAGATTGGTTATCCTTCCAAATAAGGGAAGTTGCACGTACTTCCCTGAATGCTTGCTTCTAAAAATAATTTTACTTTATTTTAGAATTATCTAGAATTAGGAAGTAAAGAACTCTTTCAACAAAACGAATATGAACTTCAGGTGTGAATCTATACTGATTTTTACCTATATACCAATACACCTGAAACCATATTATGTGCTGTTGCTGTTATCTGTAATGTGCTTTTGATCCATAGGACAATACAATAGTACTCCAGCAATATCTCATGCCCTAGATGGAGCAATTACACAATAGCAAAAAACCTGAACTTCATCCAGCATGTTTATCAAGATTTTATAGACAATGACTGTACTATTTTGAAAATTCACAGCAACCATTTCAGAGTCTGTAGAACCCAACCGTACCCAGCCAGTTCCATAGTTTAAAGAATGAACATTCATCACAATTATTTTTACAGAAGTAGTTCTAGTTTTAGTCATTAAAAGCTACCACTTCTTTCTGCCAACATACACTTACAATCGACAGGGATCAACTCGCTGTGATTTAGTACATCAGTAAGTCTAATTAAATAGTCCTGTCATTTCACAGATGATTTGGAAAGCACTGCCATAAATTAGACAAACGTTGATGTGTTAATTGATGTTTACCTTATAAACAAAGAAGTACAATCACTGCAATGTTTGCTTTTTGTAACAGTGCTGGCTGATGTTACTGGTAAACCACTGAATTGTCTAGCTGCTGCCAGAAACACACAGTTAAAGTCCCATTCCCTTCTGCCTAGCCTGCACCCACCATTTCTGCTACATGACTATTAGCTAAGGTGACAGTGGACCAATTAATGGCACAAAACCAGGTGGAAATTAGCCCATCACACAAGGAGTTGAACACTTTTAGTGATTTAGTTTCCTCAGTTAGTTTACTGCAAGGTAACAAGAGTGCCAGTAGAAGAGAAGCACTGGAAGTACAGTTGATAGCAACACAGTTCTCCTAGCAATAGCAAGCCACCAAAATTGCCTTATTAAAAAAACCCCACGCCAAAGACACAACAGATCTTTTGGGACCTTCACAATGGAGAAATAGAGAATTGGTTTCAATAAATGCTGCATACATTTTTTTTCTAAGCCTCTCTGATGTTATTTTTCTTCGCACCAATTTTCTTCTTCCCTTCTAGAAAAACATGCAATTAATGAGCCTTAAAACAAGGTGCAGTATTTTAATAAAGTTAATGTCTACCCTGTTTTACAGAACATTCATTGTTTCCTTCACGCAGGCTGATGAATGACTAAATCAAAAGTGAAAATCTTCTGAGAAGTTTTAAGTTGCTATCACAACACCTTCCAGCTGTTAAACTTCTGATTTCCGTAAAATAAACCAATGCATATGAAGAAATTCTTTATAATTTGTGGCATGAGCATCACTGAACCCATTTTCACAGGGAAACTGGGATTCTTTGCAAAGCTAACTTCACAGTAGTACATACTGATATATGTCTGAGATATGATGTTTAATCTCCAAATATCAGCTCTGCCTTCTTTTTTTTTTTAAGAGTAAATCAGAAAAGTATGTAACTATCAAAAATTATATAGAGACCTTTTGAGCTGGTGATTTCCAAATAACTTCTCCACGGGATGCAGCAAACTTCGAACAAGCTATATTTTAACTCTTACTTTTTCTCAAGCAATTTTAATTGTTATTATTAATTTTCAACTTACGTGTGATTTTACTTCAGTGTCATATATAAGACTTTCCCAAAGGCCATGGAATTCAGCTGCAAAAGCAATTGATTTATCCTAAACAGGTATATAATATATCTGTGAACTTGTAATCTACCATTGCAGCACAAAGCAGTTTTCAAATTATTCAAATTATTCTCAACTAAAAGGATTAAGAAGAGAGATACAAGAGCAATTAAAAAGTACAGGAAAAGAACCATACGAGTTATTTTTCTCAAAATGCAAACACCACTTCCTAACAGACAAATTCAGCAGTTTTACAACTTCCATTTCCTCAAATAATTGTGAGGAGAAATTAATCTTCTTAATTTCTTAACATGAAAGGAAAAATATAATTCTTTCCACCCTCAATAGGGCATGGACCTACACTTCCCCAAGACAGAGAGTTATGAAAAGTTTGGGTGGGAGGAGGGTTCTAAGTCCAATTTTATCATTCAATTTTTCTTTTCTTTTTTTTTTTTAAACATCAACATGTAAAGGATGAAAAAAGCACGTAGCTTAGTTTTTAGCTTTCAGCAAAGAAAATTAAAAGAAGACTGAACAATTATAAACCACAATAATACGGGAATAATGTCAAAGTATCAGACTGAATTCTTCCCAAAGAGAAATGTAATGGATAGTTAGGCTTTTCACAAAATGTCAAAGAGCAAGAAATGTTTCAGAATCACTGTCTTTTTGAGCTTAAGCTCACACCTGCACTTCTTCCAGGAGCAGAATCCAACTTTCCCCAAGCACAAGATACTAACAGGCAGGCCACACTCTACTCTACTGCAGAGCAAAGCCTTATTCTTCTTTTCAGAAGACACTGTGGACTCTAAACCTCTTTAGTTTGTTTCCTCCAAATATAAGGCCAGCACTGTATTGAGGGCTGGAAGCCAGCAGTGGGCTCTGGAAAATGAATGTTTAAACCAATGAGTTTCTTGTGGGTCTCCAAATAAAAATTTGGAATGCAGACTGTAGGGTTAAAAATTTGCATGCTTCTGACTATACATTTTATTCCACAAAACCAATTACTTCCACCCATCCACAGGTATTACAGAAATAAATTATGCATTGTGGAATCAGCTGTAGTTCAGTCAAAACCATAAAGAACAAAGTCCCAATATATTGGTTCCATCAACAAAGGACAAAGTTAAACAATATATACAAATAATACCTTTAACAGGTAACCCTATAAACACTTTTAGCCTCTCCAAGATTTTCTTTCATTGTAATAGCTCTAGACCTTCCAGAAATATCACATGGGTACCTGCTGGTAGCACCCAGTGGCTAGCTGCAATGATATCCTCATTCTCTTCTTCCAGGTTTTCAGCACTTGGTCCTTCTTCATTCAGATGAAAAATATGAAGAGAAAGACTGCTTTTGCTCAAGTCAATAGGCTAGAATGGACATAAAAAGACTTTTAATATATCATATTTCTCATTCATAATTACTTATAACATAAGAAAGTTACAGTTCTCAGGTGGCATTCAGCTTTGAAGCCTACTACTACCATTTCAGACCTTACTAAGGTCCAAAAGCTTAGCCACCTTTTCCTGATTATACCAGTCAACCTAATAAAAGATACTACTTATAGACGTTGTCTTGCTTATGTCCTTAGGCTATCACTAGTCTACCTACAGCTATTTCACAAGCATATGAACAGAGCTGTACATTCTTGACTGTGAATACCTGTCTGTCTTTCAGTTTCAGCTCCGTATCCACAATCGACACAGACTGCACATTGCTATTAAGGAAACCATCATCAAACTCTGTCCACTTGTAATCACCAAACACGATGTTATGTCTGTTCAACAGCTTTAAGACACTCATCCTGATATCTTCTTTCCTGGCCACACTAACAAAAAAGAATCAGCATTATTTGTGGCATTGACATTTATAAGGAAGTATGAACTAAGCCTACGTGAAGAACAGCTTCCATCTCACAAAAAAACCCAAAAAACTCCAACCACAAACAAAAAAAACCCAACACCAAAACAAAAAAAACCCCAACAAACCAAAAAAAAATCCCCCCCAACAAAAGAGCCCAAACCCACTCAATCCCCCTGTAACATTCTGCAGAAAAAAAAACATATCAAATTCAGTTTGTTTGCAAAAGCAACAAGTTTGATACTTGTTTTTAAATTGTGCATCAAAAGACACAAGCCAAAGAATACTATTAGCTCTGTTTGCAGTCATATCAGGGGACACAGAATCATAGAATGGTTTGGGTTCGAAGGGACCTCAAAGACCATCTAGTTCCAACCACCCTGCCATGGGCAGGGACACCCTCCACTAGATCAGGTTGCCCAAAGCCTCATCCAACCTGGCCTTGAACACTTCCAGGGACGGGGCATCCACAACCTCTCTGGGCAACCTGTTCCAGTGCCTCACCACTCTCACAGTAAAGAGTTTCTTTCTAACATCTAATCTAAATCGACCCTCCTTCAGCTTAAACCCATTACCCCTTGTCCTGTCACACAACTAGATTTCAAGAACAGAAATCAGTTACGCAAGCTGTGTTTCACTAGAAAAAAACAGAAACACTCATAGCCAAGCTACTAGATTGAATTTGGTACACTTAGCTTGGAAGCTCTATTATGCTTTCATGTCTGACCACAGCTGATACCTCAGGATGAGGACATGCTGTAAGAATTCCAGTAGAAGAGACAAAAACTACAGGAAAAGGAATACCATTTTAAGATTTCAGAAAAGCTTTAACTTCATTTTGTGATTTCAGTGCATTCCCAGTTCCTTGTCTTTCAAGTCTGACAAAAAGAGAACAGCGGATATTTTACACCTTGACTTTAGCAACACCTTAGACACACTCTTCCATAGTATCCATATAGCCAAATTGGTAAGATAAGGACTAGATAAACAGGCAAGGTGACTGCACTGTCCAGCTCAAAGGGTTGCTATTTGTAGTAAAAAGACTAAGCAGAGCTGCCAGTAAGTCAGGCAGAGAAAGGTGGGGTGGTGCTGTCAATATTGAAACAAACACTGTCTTTACATCTTCATTTACACCCTGGACAGTGGGATGGAAAGCAACTGCAGCAAGTTTATAGGTAACACCAAAGCAGGGAGAGCTGTCAGTATAGTAGAGAGCAGGGCTGCCATTCAGAGGGACCTCTGCAGGTTGGAGATACAGTTTGACAGGAACCTCTTGAAGTTCAAGAAAAGTAAATGTGAAAGCCTGTATCTCAATCTACTGCCCAGACAACAGTACAGACCAGAGGCCAACTGGATGAAAAACAGCTTTGCAGAAAAGGACCCAGAAGTACTGGTGGACAAGTTGGCAATGAGTCAGCAGCGTGCCCCTGCTACAAATAAGGCTAACCTTATTTTAGGCTGTGGTAGCAAGAGTGCAAACATTAGAGAAAGTGATTCTTTCCACCTACTGGCTGTTTGTGAGACCACATTTGGAGTACTGCATACAGTTTTGGGGTCTGCTATACAAGAGACAACAATATACTGGAGCAAGTCCAGAATATGGCCACAAACTTGATTATGAAATGGATCACATGATGCACAAGGAAAAACTGGGTTTGTTTAACTTTAGGAAGAGACACCTGCATGGAAACTCATGGGAGAGTACAGAGAAGGCAAACAGAGCATTGTGCACTCTTGTAGGTGCCTAGTAGAAGGACAAAAGGCAACAGACACAACTTGCAACAAGTACAGTCTTGATCAGAGAGACCTGCTTGATTTCTGATGAACTTCCACATGAATTGGAACGTTGTCACACACGTTTGGGAGTGCTTGCTTCAAATCCCCAGCGGCTTCATCCATCCTTCTCGCTCCTAGGGGGAAAGCGATACCAAGGAGAAACAGGCTTTCCGCGACCATTACGCACCGACGGCACCACCAGTCCTTCAGGGCACAGGAAACGCCGTGCCCCGTCTGCACATGTAACCCACCCACCGCGGAGACCAGCACGGCACTTCCCTCCCTCGGGAGACGGCGACGCCAGCCACTGGACACGTGGCAGGCGCCATTTTTCCCCCCGCGGGCACCCACGAGCGGGCGCAATTTCTCCCTCCGTGGGCCCCCACGGTGAGGACAATAAATCACCTCACGTCAGACACGATCCTGAGAACGGCACGCTGCGATCAGTAGGCACAGGTCTGCCCGGGGACCAGAAGGATCGGACAGCTCCGCTGTCCCCTCAGCACTCTGACTACTGCGAGGGCTGCGCCTCCACCGCACAAAGTAGCGAAGACCCTATTCAAGCGTGAAGAGAATCCGACACACCAGGACACGGCTGCCGCCTTTTTGTAAAAGGCGGGCTGGCGAGCGGAGGTCCGGCCCTTCCCCTTTGACCTGGATCTTCCTCCGCGGCAGGCGGCAGGAGTCCTTCCGCTCTGAGCGCTTCCGGTAGGGGCGCTGAGGGGAAGATCGCGGCTGGTGGTGCTGGCTCTGCCATGGGGAAGAAGCACAAAAAACACAAAGCAGAGAAGACGGAATGGCGCTCGGC